ATTTGTGACAGGTCGAAGTGGTCGCTCTCTCCAGCTATGAAGAAAAGGAAGAGCAATTCAAAGAGCAGGTATTTCATAGCATGATCAATTGTAGATTTATGAGAAAGCTGGTTTGACCTGTGTATTGCTGCTGAAGATAGATGGCTTTCAGGTGAAATGATGCTTGTCATAAAATTGTTTATTGTAAATGAAGGTTGCTAATTTGAGACAACGGTTCTTCCACTCTGTTGCACCTGGCGGACTTGCGGGTGATAGACGAGGAGTAGTCCCTGCAAATGCGTTTGCTTTTAGCGCAGAACAAATGTGGCAAGTCATCAAAGACAACAAAGACTTGGATCTTCCAGCACACAAGGTACCACTGCTTGCTTGTAGTTCTTACCCATACGTCATAGCTTCCTCTTGGTGTTGTTATTTATGAGCTGACTTGCAGGTCATGGTTGCAACAGTGCGTTGTGAGGAAATTGCCAATGAGAAGTTTTCCCATTTCATGGAAAATGAGGTGATTACTCTTATCAATGCCTATTTTTCTTACAGTGGTCTTTGTGTTAATACACCCTCTCTGAGATGCTTTTTAAATCTGCTCTAGGATTGGCGTCAGTTGGAAGAAGCTTCGCAGTCAGCTCCTGTTACCGGATTTGGAAAGAAGCTGAGTCCAATTCTTCAGTCTTGCTTATCAGAGTAAGAATATCCTATATATATACTTTGCATAGATTTCTTCTGGGTAAATAGTCATTAACCATGAGACCTCTGAACCAACCTGCCTCTATCACTCTGGTGTTATCTAAACTTCGGTGATCAGTAATAGCCACTATGCCTTTTTTATTCTTAAGACACTTTAATACACTTTATTCATGTATTTACTGGTGGACTTATTCAAACACAACACTATTTCGTTTGCAATAGGTATGACACTGAAGCCACGTATTTTGACGAAGGTGTGAGATCTTCCAAGAGGCAACAGCTGCAAGAAAAGTTATTGCAAGTAACGCGTATTCTTATAACTTGTGACTGTCAAACAGAAGACTCACCTTATGGCACAATGCCAATACTTTTCCTTCGACTCATTTTCTGTTTTTAATCTATCCAGCTTGTTCAACCAGCTTTCCAAGATGTGATTGGACATCTGAGATCTGGAACACTTGAAAACTTCAAAGAGGCTTTTGAAAAGGCTTTGAACGCAGGAGAAGGGTTTTCATCATCTGCACACTCCTGTGCTCAGTCTTGCATGTGTCAGTTTGACAAAGGATGTGAAGGTATAGCTTATTGCTGGTGTTACACTTAACATAACATCATGAAAGAAGGACAGCATAATGGAGCTTGAAAAATAATTTATGTTTTAATTTTCGTCTGATGTAGAGGCTGTGATTGAACAAGCAAACTGGGATACATCTAAAACTCGGGAAAAGCTTCAGCGTGATATTGATGCCCATATTGATTCTGCTCGTGCTGCGAAGTTGTCTGAACTGACTACGCTTTATCAGGTGGATAGATTACACAGTTGTTTCCTTTGATTTTTGTATTATGGAGTATCTCCAAAAGCCAATCATATAGTTGGAAAATCTCATTCAAACTTTCCTAATAGAATTACACTGTTGCAGTCAAAGCTAAACGAAGCATTAGCTGGACCGGTGGAAGCTCTCTTAGATGGAGCTAATGATGAGACGTGGCCAACAATAAGAAAGCTACTAAAACGGGAAGCAGAATTGGCCGTCTTTGGTCTCTCCAACGCATTATCTGGTTTTGAAATGGATGAAGCAACACGCAACAAAATGCTCACTGACCTCGAGAACTACGCACAAGGTGTTGTTGAAGGGAAAGCAAAGGAAGAAGCTGGACGGGTGTTGATGCGTATGAAGGATAGGTTACACCCTTTTCCTCATTTTTTCCTTCTCAAATAGTTTCATCCATTTGTTCTTTCTGATTAATCATAGCTTCAATCCAGGTTTGCAACAATCTTCAGTCACGATTCTGATTCAATGCCACGTGTCTGGACTGGAAAAGAAGACATCAGAGCAATTACCAAAATGTCTCGCTCTGCAGTATGAATCGTTCATGATAGCTAAAATTTCAGTACCTATACTTTGGTGAGATCACAATTTTCTTTCGATTTAATGTTACCTTGTTTGCTTTTCCAGTCCTTGAAACTGCTGTCGGTTATGTCTGTCATCCGCTTAGACAACGAACTCGACAATGTCGAGAAGATCTTGTCGCTTGCTCTGGTTGATTCCACAAACAACACTTCTTCAAGCAAGAGCATCACCACTGCCGATTCCCTCGCTTCAAGCACTTGGGAGCAGGTGACTAAAATATATCTCTATTTGTTCTATCCATGCACACAAACCTGCGAGACAAGCTAAGATGCTTTTGTTTACCATCTCATTGTCAGGTCGCACCAACAAAGACATTAATTACACCTGTTCAATGTAAATCATTGTGGCGACAATTCAAGAATGAGACACAATATACCGTTACACAGGCCATTTCTGCACAGGAAGCTAACCGAAGAAATAATAATTGGATGCCACCTCCATGGGCAATGGTTGCCTTAGTTGTTCTTGGCTTCAATGAATTTATGACTCTTTTAAGGTACTCTTTACATTTTCTCTTTAAGCTTTTGAGCTTTGCTTTATCATTAAACTGATCCTTTTGCCTCTCTATCAATGCAGAAATCCTCTGTACATTGGCTTCTTTTTTGTTGTCTACCTGGTTGCCAAAGCCATGTGGGTGCAACTAGACGTCTCAGCAGAATTTCGTAATGGCGCGGTACATATACTTTCCAAACTTCATTGTGGAATCTAAGTAGAGACTATAATGCTTGAATATTCAATGGTTACAATTCTTTTTCTTTCCTCTGTTCTGAATCTAATTCATTGACTATGTGCAACAGCTACCTGGGTTGATCTCTTTATCAACCAAGCTTCTTCCCACCGTCATGAATCTACTGAGAAAGCTCGCCGAACAAGGACAAGCTCCATCGGCAAATAGTAACCCCCAACAGGGTACAGCCAGCGGAGTAAGCAGCAGTGTTGGTTCATCTTCATCAAGCTTAAATTCAACAGAAACTGTATCCAACAGCACGAAAGATGACTAAAGAAAACGAGAAGGATGGTGAAGATCATCAATCGTTTTGAGTTTCATTGACCTCTATTTTTGGTGTTGATCAGAGGAATTCACAAGTACTGTACGTTCATATAGAGGCACTGGTTTTTGTCGCAGGTGCCAAAAGTATAGAAGTGGTCAGAGATTTTGCTTTTGTTTTCAGTGTTGTTGATCCCTTGTACTCTACTGTAACCTGATGATAATAGAAAGAAAAAACATTTTCTTATTCTGTGGAAAAAGAGCTGTTTATTGATTACAATTATTGGTCTTGAGCAGGTACATTGCTGAATAAGAGAATGAACATTCAAAACATGTTGGGAGAAACATGGAACTAACTAAGGCTCTATCTTCACAAGCTCTTCAATAGATCTTCTATATTCCACAATCAATTCCCTAACCAAGGATTTAAAAACACAAAGTAAGAGCAAGATCATAATGATCAAACAAAAGATGATATCATGTGATAATTTTGCTTTACCTTCTTTGTTGCAGCAATTGTTCACTTTCTTCTAGATTTCGCTTTTGTCCATCAACAGTCTATAAACACATCAGTAGTCAATCATAAGCAAAGCCAAAGGATCGGAAGCAATCAAACTTTGTTTAAAAACTTTTGTTCATACCATAGTTTTAGATCCTAATGATCCTGAAATCGAATTCAAGAGCTGTTGACACTTCTCAAAATGGCTATTCAATTCACTCACCTGCAATTTCCACAATTCAACATCCAAAAACCCTAAAAATCCACCTAAAGACTGGAAATTTTTGAATAGAGCGAAGAAAGGAAAAACAAACCAGTGCATCAGAATTCTGATCTCGTGCTCCAGTTTCGATCGCATCGTTTAATTTCTCCACCAACTGCGAATACCACAAATTGCATTAGAGCCCAAAATAATTCCGATTTGCAGAGAAGAAATCGAATTGATCCATTAATGTTTCTTACCGGATAGAGATGGAAATGAGAAGCTAGCGACTGGTGCTGCTGCGGAGTCTGAACAGATTGCTGCGGAGTGTGTACAATCTGCTGCTGCTGCGGCGTATGCATCATCGATTGCGGCGTGTGAACCACCGTCTGCGGCGGAGGAGGAGATTGCAGCGATGGTTGCTGAGAAGGAGGAGAATGTAACAGACGCTGTTGATGGAATTTCTGTTGCTGAATGAATTGTTGTTGTTGTTGAAATTGCTGGAATTGCATCTCTTGTTGCTGTGGCTGGAATTGCTGCTGCTGCTGCTGCGTCTGTTGCTGCTGTTGATGAAACTGTTGCTGCTGGAGGAATAAATGGTCTTGATTCGACGGTGTACCGAAGTTACCCTGCGCCTGAATGTTTGGGATCATCGACCAATTACTACTTCCTGAGAACTGATCCATTTACTTCCGATCCGGAATGTCGCCGTCTTCCGAAGGGGAAAAAAAAAAAAAATCAAAGAGACCAAAGCAGAAACTAAACATCTCTGAAGCTGTATTAAAAATCTAATCATGCAACGGCGTCGTACAGAGGGACTTTAAACAACGTCGTTTTGTTAAAATAATAAACTCACAGAATAAGAAACATGGACCTGTATTGTGTACAGATTAAATGGGCCTTTGTTTTCGGTTTGTGACAATTGGCCCATTTTTAGCATCTTCTCCAATTTTCGTCGAGAGATTTGCTTTCGTCTTCTCCACTTGATCATTATAGTCTTCTCCAGTTAATAAGGAGAATCTGATTTCGTTGGAACTTTGCTATCAATAATCGACGGTACTTTTCTGATGAACCCTAAATTATCAAAACCGAGAAATGTCCTTTTTCATCTTTAATTTGCTTTGAATGCTTATCATGCATAGTTGTTTTTAAGGTGAATTATTGATTTCTAGGCCTTTAAGTTTGATTCCCATTTCTGAGTATCCTCAATTCTTAGTGTGGAAACAAAAAGGGCTCAAATTTTGGGATTTGATTCGATTTGAAATTGGAAAATTTAAGAAATCACACGATAATAACTGTTTACTCTATACTGTATGTAGAGTGACACTACTTGTCTTCTCTTTGGGCGACGACGATGAGGCTGTTGAAGGCCGCGACGTGTAACTTGAACCAATGGGCAATGGAATTCGAATGCAACATGAAGAACATCAAGGCTTCGATCGCCGAGGCTAAAGCTGCCGGTGCTGTCATCAGGCTTGGACCTGAGCTCGAGGTCACTGGCTATGGCTGCGAGGATCACTTCTTGGAACTAGACACCGTCACTCACGCGTAATGCTTCTCTTTTAAGTTTCCCTTTGATGACAAATCGCTTGAATTGCTTAGTCAACATACTCTTTTTCTTTCAGGTGGGATTGTTTGAAGGAGCTGTTGCTTGGTGATTGGACGGATGGAATATTGTGCAGCATAGGAATGCCAGTGATTAAAGGAGCAGAGCGGTACAATTGTCAGGTTCTCTGTATGAACAGAAGAATCATCATGATTCGACCAAAAATGTGGCTCGCAAACGATGGCAACTATAGAGAGCTGAGGTGGTTCACTGCTTGGAAGCAGAGAGGAGAGCTCGAGGAGTTTCAGCTCCCTATTGAAATCTCAGAGGCTCTGTCACAGAAAACAGCTCCTTTTGGCTATGGTTACATCCAGTTTATCGACACGTGAGTTTGAATTATAATGCTTCACTCTGCTTTCAGTGATTTTGTCTGCAATTCTAAAATTTATTGATTGTTTTGTTCCTTCATCAGAGCTGTTGCTGCTGAAGTCTGTGAGGAACTGTTTAGTCCAGTGCCTCCTCATGCTGATCTTGCATTGAACGGGGTAGAAGTATTTATGAATGCAAGTGGGAGTCATCACCAACTGAGAAAGCTAGATATCCGTTTGAATGCGTTCATGGGGGCTACTCACGCTCGTGGTGGGGTTTATATGTACAGTAATCAACAGGGATGCGATGGTGGACGGTTGTATTACGGTATGTTCAAAGAGCCTTGAAGGATTGAAATTGTTAAAATTTGAGTAAATCTTATCTACTTTTTTTGTGAGTGACTATTTTGATTTGTTCATTTTTTATCCCAAGTTTAGATGGATGTGCATGCATTGTTGTAAACGGAGATGTTGTAGCTCAAGGTTCACAATTCTCGTTGAGGGATGTTGAGGTCATCATTTCCCAAGTTGATCTAGATGCGGTAACCCATAGTTACACTTGAACTTTGCTTTCTCTGTTTTGCGATGTATAAATGAAAGTTTTCTTAAGGACTGTTTTGCTTTCTTTGTCTGAGAAAGGTTGCTAGTCTACGCGGATCCATAAGTAGTTTTCAGGAACAAGCAAGCTGCAAGGTTAAAGTATCTTCAGTATCCGTGCCCTATAAGCTGACGCAGTCCTTTAACCTAAAAATGACACTAAGCAGTCCTAAGAAGGTTCTCAATCCTCCTCTGCTCCCATATCTTTGATCTTAAGTTTTCAGTTCTAATATTCATTAGTATGTAGATCATGTACCACTCTCCACAAGAGGAAATAGCCTTTGGTCCTGCCTGTTGGCTATGGGACTATTTGAGAAGAAGTGGCGCTTCAGGGTTTTTACTTCCCCTTTCTGGTGGAGCAGACAGCTCCTCCGTTGCAGCTATTGTTGGCTGCATGTGCCAACTTGTTGTTAAAGGTATGTTGAACTGTGTTTGTCTTATTTTTGAAAACCACATGAATAATTTGTTTTGATGATGCTGATATCTCCTTGTGTAGAAATTGGTAAAGGAGACGAGCAAGTGAAGGCTGATGCGAACCGAATTGGGAATTATGCGAGTGGGGAGTTTCCTACTGATAGCAAAGAGTTTGCAAAGCGAATATTCTACACTGTCTTTATGGGGTCTGAAAACAGGTAAATTAGTTAACAGTAGCAATATGGACGTGACTGGGACTTTTGCAGAAAACATGAAACGATTTCCGTTCTGAAACCTCAATTCTGCAGTTCCGAGGCAACAAAAATGCGTGCAAAGCAGCTGGCAGAGGAGATCGGTGCATGGCATCTTGATGTTTGCATAGATGGTGTTGTTTCAGCTGTTCTATCTTTATTTCGAACGGTTACAGGCCAGAGACCTCGGTATAAGGTAAAGTGTTCATATACACAAATCACAAGCAGTTGGTCTACCCAAAAAGATGATGATCATATGAAATGGTAGTTGGTTTTGTGTATAGGTTGATGGAGGATCAAACGTTGAGAATCTTGGGTTGCAGAACATTCAAGCCAGGATGAGAATGGTGTTAGCATTTATGTTAGCATCTCTCTTGCCTTGGGTTCATAGCAAACCAGGCTTTTACCTTGTTCTTGGAAGCTCCAACGTTGATGAAGGACTTCGTGGGTACTTAACAAAGGTGATTGGACTCATCTCTTTTTACTGCTACATCTCAATTCCCATTAGGTTGTTAACATAATTCATATTCTTGGTTGGAACAGTATGATTGTAGCTCAGCAGACATAAATCCCATAGGAAGTATCAGTAAACAAGATCTGAGGCTGTTCTTAAGATGGGCTGCAATGAATCTCGGTTATCAATCCTTGGCAGATATAGAAGCTGCTCCACCAACAGCCGAGCTTGAGCCCATTCGTTCTGATTACACTCAGGTAATAAAATAAAAAACGTTTGTGAGTCTATAGTGAAGAAGTCATCAAGTCTAACATCTCTTGATTTGTGCAAAACAGCTTGATGAAGTCGACATGGGAATGACATATGAAGAGCTTTCAGTCTATGGAAGAATGAGGAAGATATTCCGGTGTGGCCCAGTTTCCATGTTCAAGGTTAGATTTCTCAACTTCAGACAAATCTACTAAGCCATTCATGTCTTCATGATACACTGAAACTGGTCATAATAATGATTCTGCAGAATCTATGTTACAAGTGGGGAACAAAGCTAAGCCCAGCGGAAGTAGCTGAGAAAGTGAAATACTTCTTCAAGTATTATTCCATCAATCGACACAAAATGACTACCCTCACACCCTCCTACCACGCTGAGGTACTTGCTACTGATCAGAAGATTTATCATAAACATGTTTTGAATCTTTCTTGAGAGAAAAAGAACTTTTTGGTTACAGAGTTACTCTCCAGAGGACAACAGATTCGATCTGAGGCAGTTTTTATACAACAGCAAGTGGCCATATCAGTTTAAGAAGATTGATGAGATTGTTGACGGCTTAAATGGTGACTCAGTTGCTTTTCCGGAAGAAGAAGCAAGTTCCAGCAAAGAAGTTGGAGTCGTAGCAGCAAATTCCAGTGACCCAAGTGCAGGTCGCTGATGAACCACTTTCCTAAGATCTCTCTGTTTCAACTCAAAGTAGAAGTTTGGAACAATATTGAAACAAATAACATCTTTGTATCACTGAGATAGATAAAGTTGGTGCTGAAGAGAACAACAAAAACAACTTCAAATAAGTTTACTTTTGATGTTTGTACAGTTTTATATATGCTCTAGTTTGAGCATCATTCTCAGTTAAATTAAATTTAGTCAAATAGATTCAAGCTCATTGTTAATGAATTTGTCTCGTTGCTTATCACATTATTTATTTCATAACTTTATTGTTGAACTCAAACTTTCATGTAATTTGGATCATGCAAAGATTGAATTGATTAGGTAAAGAATAATTCAGGTTTGATATCATATCTTATTTGAAAATATTTCTTTATCCTTTTTCAGAAAGGTTAAATATCAGACCGAATCGATTCTACGGTATTCCCTGAAGATTTTTGGTCATATATACAACGTTATCTTTTGGTAAGGAAGATTTCATTACCCTTTTCAAAAATCGTATTTAGAAAAGATCACTACACAATCCCAAATTATTTGAATAGTACTCTCCCTTTCCTTTAGTATTTATAGGCATATTCTTGCTCATTGGTCTTTACTTCATACCAACAAAATGGCATTGTCAAAGCTTCAATTTGTAATAATCCTCGTCATATGTTCTCTCCTGGTTACATCCCAATCAAGAGGTAATGCGTTTCTTACTAACCACATACAAAATCAAGAAGCATATTTCTCTCTTTCTTTTAAATTTGTTTTAATTAGTGTTTAAAGGGTTGACGTAATTGATAATTTGATATATAGATGTAAGAGAGATCAATGCTGTTCATCCAGGGGAGTGTCTCTACAAAGGACCGTGCACCAGCAACAATGATTGTGTGAGTCAGTGTGGACCTCAAATCGTTGGCTCATGCCAACCCAGTCCTAGAGGTCATGGCAAGAAGATTTGTTGTTGTTCTAATTAAATCTTATTTTCTCTCATAAACTACAAACAAAATGTACTTTTGTTTACTTCCCGTTAATCTCACGATTTAATCTCTCTATATATGAGAGATGTTTCCTCATTCTATGAATCCTACAAAAGTGATATGTAATCCAAGACTTAGTTAAGATATTTTATATATAAAAAAATTACTTGGAAAATCTTAAAAAGTTACTTGGAAAATTTTACTTATGTTTTGTGGTCGATATCAAAGACATAAAAAAAAAAAAAACCATTTTTTAGTTATCATTTGTATTTCATGATATATGGTGGACTAAGTTTTTCTACACGTGCGGCGGAGCAACGAGAACCCAAAAAGAAATGTAAAGTGTTGACTTCACTTTGACCACTTTGACTTCACTCTCTTATGTTTTGCATGTGTAAGAGAAAAATTAAATTCATCAAAACATTTATTAAATAACGGAGTAACAGACATACATTAGACAAAACTACAAAACTAATTTTTCTTCTATTTTTTGGTATAGACTTGCATGCACCGTCATGACAAATGATTATCCTTTCGATAATAACATTTAACATAAATAATAAAACTTTATAGAAAAATCTCTATACATATACTAGCTAGTACCTAATCTTGATGGCTATGTTGTTGTTCTGATGCAGAAGTGTTGATACAGTTCCCAAGATTAGCGAAACTTAGCATCTCGTTATCAGACATTAACGATCTTAGCCCCAAGAAATCCCTCGTCTCTCCTCCACCGTCGTCGTTCTTCTCGTCTCTCGTGACAAAACCACCGTTGAAAGCTTCTTCTCCGCCGTGATGGTGATGATGATGTTGATTCATCATATAGTAGTCTTGAAATCCGAACGCAGGCTCTGGTGGTGAAGTCATCATCGCCGCCATTGTAGTCGTGATCAGGTTATTATAGCTTGACCTAGACGACGACCTCTCTTCTTCCTCTGGAGCATTTGTTGACTTTGTTGGACCCATTTGAGCTGCTTTCTGGAGCAAAGCTGTGGCTGACATAGCCGGAGAGGAGTGGTGGAAGTTGGATCTCCCGGTGCTTGCAGGAGAAGCAAGAGGGAACAAACTAACACTGTTGCCGTTAGGGTTAGGGTTTGATGAAGCAAGCCAAGAAGGGATGTTTTGGAAGTGATGCTGTGGTTCTTCTTGCTTCATAGAGAACTCATGACCATGGAGATTGTTGTTGGTGATGATGTTTTGGGAAGACGCAGAAGCGAAGTTGATGTTTTGTTGTGTTTGAAGATGATGAGCAGGAGAAGGAGAAGAAGATTGGATGAGAATAGGGTTTGGTATGGCTCGTGCACTCTCTTCTGCTAATGCATCACAAAATGCTCTATGCGTTATGAAACTATCCCTCCTGCAATATGAAACAGATCAAAGTTAAATAAAAAAATTACTTTAAAATTAACCAACAAAACAATGACTTTTTGAGGTTTGTAGGTCCATTTCTAAGGCATGTATTATTTGTGGGGGCATGTCACGTGTGAATAATAAGATGATAGAGATCAATATGCAATAAATGTGACCGTATAAAATGATTTCTATACTATAGGACTCAAGAAATAAAATCAATATTCTTACGTAAATACAGCGAATAAAATCAAGAAAGAAGTACCACAATAATAAATAGTTGTTTAAATGGAGATTCTTTGAGCTACTTAATTAATTACCACTTTTGTCCTATTCAAAAATTAAATGAAACTACTCATAATCCCAACAGATGGTATCAGTACCATATACTATGTGTCACTCATTTTCACATTACACAACACATCTAAAGTTTTTCATCACCATCACTCTTGTCTTCTTCCTAATTTGTAAAATAACCTTAGACATAAGTATTAAGTAATAAAGAAGAGTTTTGTTACCTTGAAAAGAGAGTTCCACAGTCACATTTGTATTCTTTAGTGCCACAAGTCTTAGAATGAGCTTTCCAATCTGATTGCACCGCATACTTCTTCGAACACTTTTCACATTTCCATTTCTTCTCGCCATGTTTTCTGAAGAAATGCTTCTTGATTCCGGTCAAGTCACCGAGAGCTCTTGACGGATGGTGGTGAACGCAGCCTGGCTCAGGACAGACATAGACTTTCTTCCTTATCACATCTTTGCTTGACCTTTGCTTAAGCTTCCATGGTAGATTGTGACCTCTCTTGTGAAGTTGCAAGTTTTGGTCTCTCTGAAAACCTTTGTTGCAGATCTCGCAAACGAATCTGTTTGTTGCCATTAGTGTTTTTGGTGATAAAGCCATCACTTCTGCTTCTGGGTCTGATTGAAAAGTCAAGAAAAACAACACCAGGAAGTTGATTAGTACAAAATTTACTGAAATTTGCTTAATTTATACTAACAGTCTAATACTTTATGGGTTTGCTGTCTTCCACTAAACAAGAACAGCCAAGAAACGAAACCCATTTCGTAAATTAAGGAATTTGAAAGAAAACACTAATAAAGTTTGGATTTTTATTTGGTTTCACCCATTTCAATAATAGCGACGAGAAAGAGGACAAATTTCAAAAAGGGTAAAAAGAATATTCCTTTTTCGAAGACCCATAATTTGGACAAAAACAATCGATGACGGTAAATCACAAGAAAATCAAGAAAGGTTGAATTTTTATTTTTTTGGATAAATATTTGTGTCAAACTAATGAATAATTTACCTGGATTGCCTGGTTGGTTTCTCTTCCTCTTTTGAGATGATTGTGGAACAAAAGACTGTTCTTGTTGCATATTTGGATTAACGTTGTAGTGAAAGTTGGAGCCACTGGTTTCAGACACACTTGCTTGATCTCCTGAAGCTGATGTCAGATTCGACATGTTTTCTTCCACTTGTTGTTGATGGTGAAGTGACATATCTTTGTTCATCATCATCCTTAACAAAAACCTTAAGACGCAAACAAAAAGGTACAAACTTTTTTCAGATCTGTGTGTGTATTCGAAAACAGACAAAGAGTAGTGGGCAAACTAGCAAAGAGAAGATTTAAGCAGAAACATCCAAGAAATTAGTGAAACTATTTAATTAGCTAGCTTTCTTGTTTGGCTTCGACACAAGAGACAATCTTTGGTTTGTGGGAAGAACAAAAATAATAATAAGATCCAAAACCCAAGAGAGAGAGTTTGTTTGAAAGCTGAACATAAAAAAACCAGACTTTTTTGTTCTTGTTCATTTCAAACATGAACAAGAAGGCTTTAAGGTTTGCTTTTTGCTAGCAAGAATCCAAAAGATAAAACATAAAAAATCCAACAAGAACTTACTGCACAAAGATGAATAAACAAGAAATCAATTACTACAAAGCAAGAAGGGGAGAAAATCTAAAATACCTATAAGAAGAAGGAGAGAGAAGAGAGAGATTGTGGATGAGAGAAACTCCATTATCTTTCTCTCTTTGTGTGATATTTGAAGCTTATAAATTCAAAACTTGAAAAAAAAAATAATAATAATAATCCGAACCCTACCGCTACCGCTAATGAAAAAAGCAAAGAACAAATAAAACTCTTCTGGCGTTTGGCGTTTTCTGTCTTTTATTTACTTACACTTTCACAGAAGCTCAAAGCAGTCTGTCCTTTCAAAGTATTATTACCTGTAAATTTGGTTTTTTATTATTTTCTGTTTTTTCTTTTTTCATGTGTGGTTAAAATAATGGGAAAATGTTTATTTAATTTTTATCATAAGGAAAGGTGGGCCAAATATTAATATACTTTCTCACAGTTGTGTGAAAAGCTTGCAGAAAGAAGAGAGATTGTAAGTTTATAATTTTGTACGTTTCTCGAGATAGCGAGAAGACATGTTTGAATGCGTTTTAGTGCATGCACTATGCACTATTTTCCCTAGGAGTAATTGATTTTCATTATTTTATTTGGATTCTTCAGTCTTCATAATTGTACGACATTTATAGCTAAGAATCTGTAATTTATTGGTTTCTACTTTTGTGACAACATTGTCAAATCTGAATTTGATCAAGAGAGTATGTTTCTGGTGTGTGTTATAGAAAGAACCTAACATAATTAATCTACTGAACAATTTTTTCATGTTCACACTTTTCTTTAGAAATAAAATTTTCGTGCTATAATTCTGACATATTAGAAACTGATTATTATAAAAATATATGATAAAATACAATTTCTTCTAATCTCACGAGAACGTTTGGCCTCCATACCTCAAACCTTAATAGTTTAATTTTTGGTTTTTTAGTTATAACTTATAAGTACGTATCTACATTGTAGTTTTTAGTCCTAAAGACATGATTGAGTCATTGATTAAAGGGGAAAAGGCAAACTTTTCTGTTTCTTTTTTTTTTCTGGGTTCATTTGTGAGGCTTTTCATGTTAAAAGAAAATAAAAAATTATATGGATTTAATTGTGTTTCAGTGCACGAATTTTTTTTTATTGATTGACACATGCCCTAACCTGCTTTATGATCTACATCGAGCTATGGACATAAATCATTGACATTTTTATTTCATTTTTGAAAATTAAAAATGATAATTCATGCGTAGACCATGGTCGGTCCAAGGTCGTAGACTAGACACCACTAAACTCGTTATCTTATCTACATTTAAAATAGGGTAAACAAAAACTGACTAGAACTTATAATATTTAATACTGTAATGGTGTCGTTTTAGGAATTTCTTTTGTCAACCATTTTACGAGTTTAATCCATCTTTTATATATGGTAATTTATTAATGTCATACGTAAGCTATATATAGTAACTGAAATAACAACCAAGTAAATACTTAGGAAAATTTGCAAGAATATAGACATGCGGAGAAAAAGAAGAATTTCATAAATACTCACATCAGAGCGTCATTCTTTTTCGTGACATATATGCACCACATCACATTTGGCCGTGACATATCAAATGCGGTGGCATATTTCAGCAATCAAGAACATAAATTTTGAGGCTTTGAATTTTTAATCACGTGTTCTCAGTTTGATCGATGACAAGCAACAAGCCATACTGGTGTATATGATTATTGTCGTTAGTCATGATTGCCATTATATCGAAAGAACATAACGATATTCGATTATTATTGCACAACTGATTAAAAAAAAGAGATTCTTCATGCAAAATAGTACTAGTTCATACATAATCAATATCCGAAAACTATAGTTGAAAAAAGATTACACGTCCATGTCTCCACGTCAACAACGCGTGGATCCTATTTTTTACAAATTATATAAAATAATACATCGACACAAAACAAAAGCTAAACTTATGTCTATAATATTGTAATCAGAAACCCCCATCATGTTTTAGTTGAAATAAAATGTAGGCTGTCGTTTTATAATTTCGGATAATATATACTTGCAAGAAAAAATAAATCAACTGTAATGTAAGAAATGAGAATAGCAAAGAGGTTATAGGATAGGTAAAAATAACCGAAGCAGGAATACACGAGCTGAGTATAGGAAAGACGCAGCGGACCCATCTCTGTGATATAGTTGTATAGGTTTAATTTCTAGAATTAATCTTACTACTATTCAAATCCCATTAAATCTTTTTTAATAATAATTAAACTTTGTCATGGCACCGAATCTTTGCCAACGTCATTTTCGGCCTCTAATAGTCTGTAAGACTTATAATAGTCATAAGTTTGAATTTTTGTTGTTGTTGTTGTCAATGATAAGTTGATAACTGATAAGTTTGAATTCCGATTAAGACAAATGGATAAAGAAGGTGCACATATTTTATATAGTTCTGCTTTTAAACTGGTTAATACTTAATAGTAATACATTGAAGCTTGGAACTTAAAATTAAATGTAAAAGACCCAGAATTATTACCTGTTGCTATATATGTGTATGATATTATAGACAGCAGCAGCTACGGAGAGGAATCTCTCATCTACAGACATAAGTGAAAGTGACAGGTCGATGTAACCGTAGAAGACCAAAAAGAAACGTGGCATACTGTGATTGGATTGTACCTCTTAAGCAAAGAGTCATGATTGGCTTTGACTCTTCTCTTTCTGCGAAACTTAATCCATCCACGCGGTCAGTCTACCTTTCGGACACTCCCGTTCCCAATGTTTCCGTTTCTGGTCTTCCTGGATTCGTCGTCGTTTTGGGTCCCGGACGAAAACCGGTTTTCGATAACCCGAATAATATTTGCAGAATTGTTTACAGAATCTAAACCAAACCAAGCCAAGTAAACCCATAAGCCCAGATAACTGCTCTAAATATATATGGGCTGCAATATTTCTACTCAAAAACCATAAGCAACAGACCATTTTCAAAATGTTCTCTATCTGGGCCTAACTGTCTTACACGAGCATCGTTTTTACACAGAACTGCTGATTGACATTTGACACAATGGTAAGGTTAATTAATTAATTGGTCTTTGATTAATGGATTTATATTCGCAATTACATATCACTTGTACGTTATTAAAGGTTAGTTAATTGATTGGTCTTTGATTAATGGATATAGTTGCAATTACATACCCACTTGTACCTTAGTACTCCTATAATTTATTAATCTCTCCAAGACTCCAACTATGTGAAAAGCCAACAATGTAAGAGTTATTTTCTATCACCATTTCATTTTTTGTGTTTATTTATTTTTGAGAAAGCAATCTAAATCATTTTTGTTATTAAATGAGCCGTTAAAACACATCGTACTTAAAATATCTAGACCAAACACAACCACAAGAAAGGGAGAGCAAGAAAGAAAGAAAAAGAACAACAACAATGGCGAAATTAAATCTTTCCAACATTGGTCTGTCACTATTAGTATCGTTGCTGCTCTGCAACTTTATCATCGATCTTGAAGCTTCACACCACGATCTCAACCAACCGTACCGGACAGGTTATCACTTCCAACCTCCCAGAAATTGGATGAACGGTATGTACCGTACCAAACTGATCTTGATATCTAATTTCCATATATTATGTGTATATCCATCGATGTGTCATGTACTCATGTGTATATTCGATCTTCTAATCAACATCGTTTTATTCTTTGCTGATTCCGTTATCTTCGATGAAATCTGATCCGACAAATATTTCCAGATCCTAATGGTTAGTCTGTTCTCTTTAATCTTTATGTCATTTTTTATTCATGGTTCTTAAAAATTGTTTTTTTGTATCAATACAAAAATACGCACTTGTTCTTTTCATGTAGGACCAATGATATACAAAGGAATCTACCATCTCTTCTATCAATACAACCCATACGGCGCCGTTTGGGATGTAAGAATCGTGTGGGGTCACTCCACGTCACTCGACTTAGTCAACTGGTCCCCACAACCTCCAGCTTTCAGTCCATCTCAGCCGTCGGATATCAACGGCTGTTGGTCAGGCTCCGTAACGATTCTACCAAACGGCAAACCCGTCATCCTCTACACCGGCATTGACCAAAACAAAAGTCAAGTCCAAAACGTCGCCGTTCCGGTTAACATTTCCGATCCATATCTCCGAGAATGGTCAAAATCGCCGGGAAATCCGCTACTAGCTCCCAACGCCGTCAACGGAATTAACCCCGACCGGTTCAGAGATCCTACAACCGCGTGGCTCGGACGCGACGGAGAATGGCGAATGATCGTCGGGAGCTCGACGGACGATCGTCGAGGATTAGCCATTCTTTATAAAAGCCGAGATTTCTTCAACTGGACGCAATCGTCAAAGCCACTACACTACGAAGACTTTACTGGAATGTGGGAATGTCCTGATTTCTTCCCGGTTTCGATAACCGGTTCGGACGGTGTAGACACGTCGTCGTTTAATGAGACTACCAAACACGTACTTAAAGTGAGTTTGATCGAGACGTCACACGACTATTACACCATCGGAAGTTACGATCGTGAGAAAGATGTTTATGTACCGGATATTGGGTTTGTGCAAAACGGATCGGCTCCGAGATTAGACTACGGGAAATTTTACGCGTCTAAAACGTTCTTCGATGAAGTTAAGAAACGAAGGATCTTGTGGGGTTGGGTTAATGAATCGTCGCCGGCTAAGGATGATATCAAGAAGGGTTGGTCTGGTCTTCAGGTAAACTTTTAGTTTTCCCTACACTAATTTGTGATAAGAGAAATATAACTAACCGGTTTTCTTTTCTTGATATATATGATAGTCATTTCCAAGAAAAATATGGCTAGATGAATCGGGAAAGGAATTGCTACAATGGCCGATTGAAGAGA